ATGAATATTTTTGAATATTTTGTATTTTTCAATTATTTTTGAAATTAACGATTTTTATGTTACTACTGTAACAATACCTTATCGAAGCTAAGGCCCTTATGATCTGGCTTATATTGTTTTTGGCAATAACATTTAAGTATGAAACGCTCATTCTTTCGAATAAATCCGTAGAGTTGGTCTTTTTCGTGTTTAACGTCACATATAGAGCATTCTTTAGAGTGGAGCTCATTATTATATAATACAGATTGTGCTTGAAAATTAATAAAACCATTTCCAATTTTTCCAATCTGAAGTCATCCATATTCTTCAATAATTAGATTAGCTTCTCTACTCAAAGCTTTTTCATTATTAATAGGCTGGGATTCTTGTTTTACTGGCTCTTCAGAAGAAAAAGTCCGTGGCCAGATCACAGAATAATTCTTTTTAGGCTGAACCAGATAATCATCTAGATTTTTAAATCCATTTTTAACTGAAAAAATAGCAGGTCTTTTTATACGACCTTCTTTTTCTGATCCCAGAAGCTGAAGATTAAAATGTGTTTTGGAAAGGCCATTATCAATAAATTTTGAATAAGGTTCTCCAACTAATTTCATAACCTTTTCTGTGAATCTCTTAAGTTCTCTATAATCTATGAATTGAGCATGAGGATAAATAATATGCCAACTGCATTTCTCAGCATTTGATGAACTGGCTAAAGCAAAAGAATTTAAGAAAGATGTACAATCTGGAATAAGGCTTAATGCATCCACACAAGCAACTAAAATCCGAGATAACAAATCTTCATGAGTAATTTTTTCACTATCTAAAGAAGGATGTTTAAGATTATCTGAATCAGGCTTTTGCCTTGTATCAATATTAATAATTAAGCAAAGAGACTGGTTACCATCAATACATTTATGAGTATTAGATATTCTATAAACTTCTGTAGGATGATCGATCACTGATACCCTTTTCCTACCATCCAAATTATATATTGATAATAAATATCTTCAGGTCAATACGCATCTAAAAGCACAGTATCATTTTTATCAGTATGGTCATAACCCTTTAGGATCACCCCTTCGGGTCTGGATACAAGCCAATATTTATAAAATGTATGTTCTTTATGGCCAGGTTTATAATCAAGATCTGTTAAATTCATAAAAAGTCATTTTGCTTCATTATATTCAGCTGACTTTTGATTTAAGCACTATTGCTGTAACGATTCATGAAGATATTTTTTTGCTTTACTAGACAAACTCATTTTATTGATTTGTATATATGTTGTTTGTATATGTGCATTGTTTGATCTGACAAAAAGTATATGTTATTGAAACTATATTAATTGGTAGATAAATCTTTAAAATAAAATTAATTATTCCAGAAATTTTAGCTGGACGTCAAAAAAAATTATATATTTGATTGAAGTAATTATTATATATAATTACAGAAAAAAACAGGATGAGTTATGTGCACAAATTACCATGTTTAAGAATTATATATCTGACTTCTCCGATTCTATGCACGAAGTCTAATCATATACCTGACATACATATATATTGATTATTTTTTCCAGGATCTCTTTAAGTAATGTTATATTCTCTTTGATCCCATTGATATTTTTAGTAATTTTATTACGTAAAGCTATAGATTCTAAAATCTTTAATCTATTCTGTGTCTTATTCATGTCCATTTTCTGATAGAATTACATTAATCATCACCCATTCAATTTTTGGATATAGCTATCTACGGATAATTAATTTTGATTTGAAAAAATATATTTCATAATTATAGTTCGCAAAATTATACCATATTAACAATGTCAAAAGTAACTACAAATTTCGTAAATCAGTATAACTTAACTCCTCAGATGAGTATTACTGAGCTTAATAATTATGCTGAAAAAATATGTAAAGAATTAAAAGATTATAAAGCTCGTAAATCAGTATAACTTAATTCCTCAAATGAGTATTACTGAGCTTGATAATTATGCTAAAAAAATATGTAAAGAATTAAAAGATTATAAAGCTCGTGATCACGCTCGAAATAGAATCCAGAAGTTAAGATTTAGTAAAGATCAAACATATGCTTTAATTCCTATCCAGGCTTCCGGGAGGCATGTTACAGGGCGAGATCCGATTGAAAAGCTCGCTCAATATATTAAGAAAAATGAAGATAATCTTGAACCCGAAGAGATAAATACGCTAGCATATAACTTAGCTAAAACAGCTCCTACTGTAATAGCTCAATCTTCACGTCTTAAATTGCTTCGAAAAAAATTGCATATACTTAATGCTAAATATCTTACAATAGAAGCAATATATATATCTGATATTACTCAAAAATCAAATAAAGAACAAGCAATAAATCAGGAACTCTGTGAAGACGAGGGATTCGATTGTTTAGAATTCTTTTATCTGAAAAATGTTCAGAAAAGACTTAGTAAGTGTGATATAACAAAATCTTCCTCTATGCAAAATTTAATTGATATAATGATAATGTTATGTATGAGATCGACAGATGTGAAAAATCTCTGTATTAAGTATTATAAAGCAGATACTACTGAATGGTATAATTCTAAATATTCTTGATACTGCACTGGATATACCAAAAATAAAAAAGACGAACCTAGATCATTAATATCTATAGAGAAAGATATACTACTGGCTAGAGAATTACTTATTTGGATCCAGAAAGCAATTCCTAATAAATTCTCATTTTTAATAAGAGATAAAGATGGTGATATAAATGTCCACCCAATTAATAATTTTCTAGCAATTTATGGAATAAGCTCATCACATTTGAGAAAAATTGGTTCTGAACATGTTATTACAATTCATGAAGGTAAAAATGATGCTCATCGTAAACGTCTCCATCAATTGGCATTAAGACAAAAGGTAATTAATATCGCATCAGATCATTATGGTATAATAAATAATAGACCAATTATTCCAGTACCTAAGTAAGAGAATGATGAAGTCGAGAATATAGACTTATACAATTACTAATCATGCTTCTTTGCTTTCATCACTTTCACAGCAAAATCTTTATCATTATTAGATGATTCAAACTCAGACCCAGATTCAGATGTGGATGAGGACTCAGATGCGGTATTGTTAAAAATTGATTTTTTTCTAGCTTTGCATGAAATATGTTGCTGAGAAATATCTGGATTTGCTATCGCATTTATAATATTTTGTTGAATCTCAGGTATTCGACAACCTTCAGCTAATTTCAAACAAAGAATTTTTATTTGCTGTAATATATATATATCTGTGATAATTTTTCTTGTTTTACTTTTGATTCTAGACATGAGCACTGATTGGCACTAGCCGATTTTTTGACAAACATTTCATGCAATCGTTGAAGAGAGACATTTGGAAATAATGGTAGTCCCTCACCAGTAAACCAAAATTTCTTTATCCTACTATTGATGAATTTCTGTATTAATACACTTGGAACATCTTCTAAGGGATCATGAAATTCTTCAAACTTTCGGAGGTATACTCTCGCATTTTTATTGGCTTCTTCTGCCATTTCTTGATTAATATAACCAACAATACCAAGTTCTTCCTGAATTATCGCTATATCATCTTCTAAGCATAAAAGCAAATTAAATAATCTAATTAATTTATCTGAAGAGGCTTTATCTCTTCTAAGTTTTGCTTCTAAAATGGGATTGATATCTATATCAAGTTGATCCTGTATAGGTAATAAATCTCTCACCAATTCTAACAGCAATTCATATGAATCAGCAAGTTCTTTCGCTATCTTGCTCTCTGATACTGCCATTTGATTTATATTACTGTTAATACCAAGTTTTTTCTGAATAGCTGTTATATCTTTTTTCTTATATAAAAGCACCTCGTATAATTGGAGAAATTTTTTACTTGGATCAGTATTATTATTAGTATTACTCGTCATGATTGTTATAATATGATACTATAATTAATGCGCATAAATATATAAATTAAGTGAATAAGCAAATTCAATCTGAAAATAATTATAATCACATCATAACTGCAAAATTACATCACGTTATAATAGGCCTCAGGGGAGCGATGTCATGTATTTTATTTCAAGATTGATAATATGTAATGGTTATCTGAAAAAATTAATTATGATAGTGAATAACGAGTTGAATTGGTCAGGTCTTCAGATGATATTAATATGTGTATTAGCACTAGCTCTGCTATTCAAAATCAGTAGTCTATGCTTTTACCGTTACTATTTGAATTGAATTTTGATAGGTCTCACAACATTGTAAACGATAAGTTCTTGTATTGACATAATCATCACTACCCCATCTACCTTCTATATTATCTCTTATATTTTTTTTTAGAATCTTTATTGCATATAGGACAGGATACTGAACTATTAAAATCAAAAATAATCATGATTTTTATGACCCTTTAGGATCATTCCTTTGGGCCTGCTATACTTCGAAGATAAATAAGGGAACTGCTCTAGCACTTTATTAATAATGGATTTTTGCTTTTCTTCTGAATTATCAGATAAAATAGAGATAGGAGGTCAAGATACAGATGGTTTAATAACATCAGTTTTTGTATCTGAAGGCAATACATTTATCCCAGTTTCCGGTAATACTTTCTTAATTTTCAAATCGATAGAAACAGAAGATAGATTTACCTTAGTATCTGATATATCATTTGTGCTAGATGGATCTGACATATGTGCGTGACAATTTGTCACACTGATCACTTTTATTTTGGAAGAAATGGCATTCTGTGCCTGGCAATTCATATCAATCAACTTGGAAAATCATTCACAATACCTTGAATTTGAATATTCTTTAAACTTGAAATAGCACTTGCGCTATAAGTTACTTGACTAATTTTATCTATTCCTATTTCTTCGTATAATATATAGATTTTTTTTGCTCTGGAAGTTATTTTATGCAAGTTGATATCAGTTATATCAGGAAGAAGCAATTTGATACTAATGTTCTTGCTGATTGGTCATCAATATTATTTGCAGTTTTAACATCATTAACTCTATTCTCGTATGCTTTATAATAACAATACCAGCACAAACTTTCCTTTTGTCAAATCTTTATTGCTACCCTAAATAGATTAATGATATTTTGCAATGTAACACTATTAGATCCTGATAAAATCGCTTCTAAAGAGAATTCAGGGATTTGAACATCAGATACTTTACTAATCTTGTGGTTATTATCTTTGATGCAACTAGATAGTTCGAGTCTTAAACCTTGTTCTACTTTTTGATTATAAGGAATTTTTGTGAAGCAAAGCGCTTCGTGCCTCTGATTAGATGATATATTAGTGGGTAATTTAGACTCAGAATCACATGGTAAATTATTATCCGAAGATAATTCAAAACTATTAGAGATAGATTGTGATATTATAGATGATTCCAGATTTTGATTTTCATAGGATGATTCCGATGAAGTACTATCCAAAAATGAATTTTGATCCCGAAGTTTCTTTTTCCTAATTTTCTCCATTATCGCTTTACTAACATGTTCTTTATATTTCATTTCTACAAAATCAAGAATCTCATCCATATCGTTATCGACAATATTTTGTGACAAAGAGATTGTAGATGATTCAGTTTTTTGGACCTGGGTTGAGTTATGATCTATTCCAGTTATAGGGTCAGGAGTAATAGCTTTCTCCTTATCGGATTGACTCTCATTAAGTGGTGAAATTTCTTTTATGAGAATATCATCAAAATTGAAGTGTTATCGGATCTATCTGATGCCAAAACATCTTCAGTTTGTAAGTCTATTTGTTCAGGGATAACGCTAGAATTTTCCATTTCAGTAGAAATACTTACTATCTTTTTCTCGGAAATTGACAATTGCTCCGGAGAATCAGTGATTATTCCCTTTGATTTTATTTCCTCAAAATTACAGCTTAATTTTGCTACTTTGATTTTAAGCTCAGAATTTTCAGCTGAGAGATAGGTGATATCTTTTTTATTTTTTTCTAGTTCCATCTTAAGATTATTGTTCTCAGCTTCGCATTTAGCATTTTCTTCAATAATTTGTTTTAGCTTCACATTCTTAGCCTCAAGATCAATAACCCGTTGTTTCAATAAATCAAATTCGGATTGCATTTTAGTAACTTTTTATATAAAGCAGATTTATTTAATTTTTAATTAGAATTTCCATTCCAATTTGGAATGCAGATCACTTTCGCTAAGAAATTATTCTGGAATATTATTGATTACACATACAATATATGAAGTGCGTGACAATTTGTCACACCGATCACTTTTGCCAAGAAAAAATAATTACGATTGATATGTTTACAGTATCGCATAAAATCTTTATTAACCCATGATAATTGGTGATATATTTATTGCAAAGCAATGGGCTTCGCTCTACATTAAAATACTTAAATTTTCGCTATATAAGCATTAAATTATACCCCATCCGGTAATGGATCCTCGGCTTTCAATCCACGTCGGGCACGTGACAAATCTAAAGGAAATATTGTCTGTTAATTTTATATAAAGATGTATAAGGTCAATTACTTACTGATAGTTCCTCGCCTTTTATCACAAGCTCTTTCTGGTATATCAGTTTGACTTTTTTTCGGTTGGGAGAGTCTGATTTGGCTATTCAGATTTCGTGCATCATTGAGATCTTGCCGAGGAATCATAGGAATAACCGTCCCACGTGCATCTCTTTCAATACCCGCCTCTAGATCGACGAAAAATCGCGCAGATGATGGAAGAAGGTACTGTGAACAAAGTAAACGATACTGTGTCTGATCCCTCGAGTTATGGTAAAATTTCCATGAAGGAAAAGACGTGAGGAAAAAGCAACAACCTGCCCAGGGTGAAGCGGAACGATAATCTGGAGTTGCGGAAAGCAAAGCTCACCACCCTCAAAGTCTCCTAATACCACCAGAAAACAGAGAGAGTTTGGTTCGTCGTGTTCGTCCCAGTGGTAATCACTAATGGTGTTAAAGTTAATCGCGATCATCAGGAAAACCCCAAAAGGTCGAGGTCCAAAAGATCCCCACGATAAATTTTCTAGTTTCTCATATAACTCCCCATAATATTCTCGCACGAATTGATTAATGGAAATTGAAAGTGGATAGAGATCACACAACAGAGTGTTAATGCATCCTTGGTGATCAACGTTATGTGAGCTTGCTGTGTTTGAGCTCGTGAAAGGTAAGAGATTGTTTCGTGCGTACGTGCCAAAATGCTCTATAAAATTTTCCCAGAAATCATTGCTACGGTGAGAAGGATTACCTAAAGTATGGAAATAATAGTAATTTACAGCTTCGGTAGCCTTTTTCACGGCACCATCGTCGAGCACTCCCAAGTGTATCAAAGTTCCACCCTCAACATCCGTGATGCAACCTGGTTCCATGATGTTACGAAAATGTACCATTTTACCAAGCGCAAGAAGATTCCCACGTGCAGACATTATCATTCTGGTCTTCTCACTTCGAGAAATTTGAGTGGTGATATTAGACACATCCCGTTGTTTGTTCTGAAAATCTATCGGTTGAAATTTTATCCATCTCGATCGAAGGTGACGGCGCACATCTCTTCTCGTAATAGGTTCTTTCATCCCTAACCACCGACCGAAATCGATCCACAAACTTTTATTCTTTTCTTTACCGTCATGAGATAAGTCAACGTCATGTTTTCCTATTTTAATTATTTCCTCATCAACTAACTTGAAAAATTTAGTCGGAACGTTTGATACTTCGATGTTACTTGCTAACTTAGCTTCTCGAATTAACGTTTCAGTTAATAGATCTCTCGTCGAAATTTCTTCAGTAATTTTGATACACTCCGATGCCACGCGATCTGACAAATAGAGTGGAGCACTTCTCCATTCCTTCTCGATGTAACGTATCTTATCGCTCGTACACAATCCCCGAATTGCGTGCTGAGTTCAGTGCTAACAATATATTATTAGCCTAAGGCTTACTCACGCGATGTAAATCTAACGACAAACCGAGCTTATCATTTACTTTTTTGCGGATTGAACTAACCACCAAGACAAAATATTGAGCCACCTAAGGTGATCATGCCCTTTCGAACACACGATATACTAAGTATACCCAACACAATACTTGGATGGTTGACCAATCATTTGCAATAGCAAAGACACGAAAAAGCAACTGACGAGATGGTCTATGCTAAGTATTAATCAAAAAATAACATGTACCCGGCTTGGATCAAAAGTGATGCACGGAGCGCAAAGTCTCTGACTCGACGGTAATATGGATGTAAGTTCGTTCTGCTCTTTCGATATTAATTTTTGTTCCTTATGAAGTTTACGTTTTTTATTGTAACGAGCACTACGTGACAATTTCTTGGATGGTTTCTCTTGCAACATACTGATATAGGAAAAAAGGTTCAGGTATTTATTAGCATGAGCCTACAGCTAAGAAATAAAGAGAAAAAGCAACACTATTCGACGAGCCGTCTCACGAAGTGAGGAGCTGATGTCCTACTCAAGAAGAATAGCGTATATCTTTACAAGAAAAAAGAAATGTGGGGATGTAAGTAATCGTCGATAATCGGTAAGTTACATATTTACAACAATCAACCAATCAAGATCGTTTCTATTTTTGGGATGGTCGTGTGATCCATTTTAGACACATGTGATCTATTTCGGATGTATGATTTAATTTTCCAATATAAGGATGTACGACTCGTTACTTGATCATGTGCCCGATAAATAAATTATGAAAAATCTCAGGAAAATGTGTAACAAGGATATCGATCGGGAAATGACGGACGTAGTATTAGCGAGATCAATGCAACGTTCGATTCTAAATTACTACTATATACTACTTTTTTTGTGTACTAATATCGGATAGGGAAAGAATGCTTGTAAAAGATTTTCAATCTCCAGTGCCATCTTTATTGAGATAAATATAAAATACAAGATATAAAAAGTACATCTAACGAAATCTAGAAGTCATCGTGGAGTGAAAACTGTAATACTATCTTCCATTTGTCTTTGCGATGTGGAGATAGATGCATGATACATTTATAATTAATATGTTACGTAAAAGTAAAAGGGTTTCTATAAATTTAGCTACGACGTTTGCATCAGATAATTGTACAGGAATTTCGGCAGATTGTAAATGGTAATATTGTTACCGGGTTAATAATAATTTCGCCAATCTCTCAATTTTGGTAAAAACCGTCTAGTCCGATTTCGTTAGTTTAAATTCGCTTTTGAAATTCTATTTTTATTTCGCTTTTGTTTTCTATCTTAAATTCGCTTTT